AACTAGCCATGAAGGTGGATCAACCCTTAAAACCGTACTGGTGGGAATAGCTTTGCCATTGTTGGGGATTGAAGGTGATGCACTGTCTTGGCAGCAAGCACACATTACAGGAAGTGACCCAGAGAGATTGGATAGATAGGCGGGCGTGGGGTTACTGTAAAGCTCGTGTCTCTGCAATAATAAAACATGTTTCCTTCAGGAATTCACAATGAACCAAATATCCATGAAGGTGGACCAACACCTGTAGACGTACTGGTTGGAATAGCTTCGCCATTGGTAAGGAGTTGAGTTGAGTTGAGTCAAGAATTGACATTACAGCAGTCGGGGCATTTCCATGCATGCTCCGTCATCTTCAGCAGCCAGTGCAGAGTTTTAATACTGATGATACCGGTCACAATCTGGTTAAATGTTCGTCTTGCCTTTCCTCTGAGTGCAGTCAGCCGGCCAAACACTCTGGTTACACCCAGGTGTCTCATTTTCTCCAGGCCACAATAATATTCTTTGTCTGCTGATTCCGTTGCTTGTTCCCAAGGAGTCTTGACCACATCTGCCTTGTCATGTATCAATTCACCACCCAGTGGTGGAAATTCAGCCAATTTGTATGCCTGTTCATTACCCACCACGCCGATATTGCCTGGAGAAAATATCTAAAGTATGCTCACTACCCGTGACCTTTCCACTGAAGCTTGCCACTCTGCTCGTGTTGGGGATTGAACATGATCCATTGTCCTGACAGCAAGAACTATACCACTTTATCCCCTGCATGTTCAGGTGCCGCGAGTTGTCACCGAACCCTTGTTTGTACTTTTAACCTCCCTGAAACATGCGGTCAGAACTCTTTCTTCCACCTGCTTGTTCATAAAACATGACCCCGGAATAGATCTATAATGTCGCGGAAAAGGATATTGATGGAGACAGTCATAAATATTCATCATCAAGAACAATGGGGATTAGAGGAGTGGGAAGGAAATCGACTTTGGCAGGAACACTAATCAGAAAGAACAACTGAACACTTTCTGACCCAGACAGCGCCAGGTGTGTGGTTGGAGTTTACTCCTATCCCGTATCACGTCTCTGACGTTTGGTTTCCGCTGCTGAATAAGCCTGGCTTCTGTGATGCCCTAACTCTGGTTATGCTTACACCCGGTGTACTCTTTATACCTTTCTGAAATAGTAGTTACCTCATTTTAACCTCAGAAGAGGAAGTCCACTGGACTAAGGAACCCGCTGTATGGGCACACGATTGGGTTATAAAAGTGGAATCAAGACCTGTGTGGCTAGTCCCCATTTATTGAGTTTTTCACCCGGCTCGCTAGCGTAGTTGGCTAAACCGGACTGCGTGGTGACCGGATGACGAACTCCTTGTGGTCCGGGTATCCATAATACCGAGCCTAAGGGTTAACAACTCATGGCTTCTGGATACTAAATTGAGTTATTCGTGCGCCACTGGAAGTCGCCATGGTGTAGCTGCTAGATGCTCGCCTGCTGATCGGAAGGTCCCGGGTTCGGGTCTTGGCGGAACCGGACTTGTTTCAGAAAATGATCTTGACTCCTAGGTCGACCCAGCCTTGAATGGGTACTAGGCGCTGTCATAGGAAGTAAAGGCGGCCGGTGTGCTACTGACCACATCTTTCTTTTGTCAAAATCTGCTTGTGCCGCTAGGCGTAGCAGTCTATCAGATGATCGGCAACCGAGCCAGGGCGCGCTCAGTCGCTTCACATGCCGTGATGTTATGAAGTTTCAAGTTGTCCGTGACTCCTTCAATCCATCTTCTTCTTGGTCTTCCCCTGCCTCTTGGTGTTTCGATTTTCATGTTGTATGCTCTTGATGCTGGCATCGTTGGTTCCATTCTCATTAGGTGACCAAACCATTTCATTCTTTGCTTCTCAATAAATTTAACGATGGGTATGGTTCCAATAGTTCTTGTAATCACATCGTTTCTCACTCGATCTCTTCTGGTTTTATTCGCAGCCATTCTCAAACATCTCATTTCACAGGTGGTTAGCCTTCTCTCGTGTTCTTTTGTTAATGTCCAAGTCTGACATTGATAACCTAATGTCGGTATAAAGATTGTATTTATAATTTGTCTTTTTATCTCAGCTGGGACAGCAGGGTGTTTTAAAATTGGGGCAAGCTGGTATGCGACATTGTTGGCTTGTTGGATTCTTGCTTCGATCTCTCTGACCACATCACCCACCTAATACCTATTGGTCTGTATAATAACCCTATATAACCAGTAAGTCTGGAGGCGTCGAATAGGGTCTTTTACTTTTTACATGCGCCACTCTTTTGAGTAATCCATCACTTGTTGTAGTCGTAGAGCGAAAAGGACGGGGATAGTAAAATTCTTCATTTGCACAGACAGGGACACCGTGGTCTGATTTATTGGACGCTTAGTTGGAAATGCGGTGACATGGTTAGATAGTTGTCAAATGTTTCGTGCAGAATGGCGTGCATATCTTCGGAGGTCATGTGTGAGAAGCATTGTCTGGATCTTTTCACCGAGGAATGTCGGTGTGTTGGGAAGTAAACAGGCGGACAGGATGGCTGGCATTACACAACTTGGTGGAAATACTGGTGCATGATAAGGCAGACGTAGTCAAGGCCTTGTGTATAGTTTAGAGGAACAAATCGATTACCACAGTCTGAGAGTGATGCAGCGGAAAGTGGCGAGACGGACTTATAATTGGCACCGTTGGTATTGGACCTCTGCGCTGGCTGCTGAAGGTGGGGACGGAGCGCTTATGGGAATGCCCCGGGTGATGTGATGTCGGGTCTTGAATAACTCAGCTCAACTCATAGTTGTGAAATGGACACCGAATCAATGACCAAGTGTTAAATTTTCTGAATATTTCGACATGCTCAGGGCAGAAACGCCACTGTGTGTCCTGATCTAGACTAAATGCTTTGGGGTGATATTGATATGCTTTTAGATTTGACTTCAAAATGCAATATTTCAACTAAATTGTTAAGCAATCCTCTGCAGTGTTGCCACTTTTCTTTGACAAAAAACATCCAAAACGGAGTCGAAAAATATATAAAAACATCTAAATTTGCGTGGAAAACATCAACAAAAAAAACATCCAAATGGAAAGAGTCACAAATTACATAGCAATTGAAATGACTTACCCTATAGAATCATGTCCTCATCTTTACTGAAGTCTGCCTTACAAGATCCACAGGATAAACTTAGCTTAGATGATGAAGTTGAAGCTTCAGATCCAAAATGACTCTGGTATGCTTTAGCTGTTCCAGTTTCTTTTAATAGCTAATCAGGGAGCTGATAAGTGGAACAGCCTTTTCTTACTCTTATCAGGCCGAATTTTATTGTCAAGATAGCATTTAAGATGTCAAATTTCATCCTGTTTTTAGGTTAGATTTGATAAATTCACTTCAAATGAAAACATCTAGAAAAACATCTGCCAAATAAATGCAAGGGGAAACATCTAAATCTGGATGTAAAACATCCAAAGTGGCAACACTGATCCTCTGGGTTACTTGAAGCTGTGCACCACTGGTTCTCAACCTTCCTACTGTCGCGACCCTTTAATATAGTTCTTCGTGTTGTGGCGACCCCCCAATCTTACAATTAGTTTTGTTGCTACTTCATAACTTTAGTGAGTATGTTCTTCCGATGGTATTAGGCGACTTTTGTGAAAGGGTCGTTGTACCCTAAAAAGAGTCGCTGTACAGTGTGGGTGGGAAATACAAGGCTCGAAGACTTGATGAGTCAGACGAGATGGTGTTGATGAAAGTTATGTTTCGGTTTCTTCTGCGTTCTCTGTAGCAAAGCTGGTGTCATATTGTCGTGTGATGTAAAGTTAAGCTGCGACATATGCGCCATTGGACTTAGAATCCGATTTAGCAGAGCCTTGTTTAGTCACATTTTATGATATTTGTTTTTAGAGGCACACCCACCCCCTCTTCAATAGGACCCAAGAACCCACATAGGGAAAAGTGTTTAAAATTGTCCCGAAAGTAGCCAGGAGTGTCTTTTACAGAGGTCACCACAGAAAGGTCGGAAAAGTGACATTTACTTTGAATTGGACGCATCCAGAAGTGTCGATTATGGGGCTTTCCGTAGAAAGAGTTAAAATACGTTTTTAAAGGAACCACGTGAGGCGAAGGATACAGAACTGAACTGTCCTCCCTGTGTTGGTTTCGAAACTGAAAAAAAGAATAAAGTAACTGCCCCCTAACAAGCGTGACGTAAAAGAATACAAATTAAGGGATGTTTGCTTCGAGTGCATCTGTCTCAGAAGCGAGAAACCAACAGTCTGCATACAGATTCCTGTAAACAAGAGATGAGCACGCAAAACTTGTTCTAGAACAGGTCAAAGGTCCAAAAATGGACGAACAGCTATAACTTTTTGCCAGATATTACAATTTTTTGAACCCCAAAGAAAAAAGAAGAAGAAGAAGAACTATCCTCTGTGCAGCAGTATAGTAAAGTCTTCTTTTTCTTGAAGTCCAGGGCGTGTGGCGTTGGTAGTCATGTCTATCCACAGCCTTCTGTCTTTTGTACTTCTATTTAACTCTGAAACACATGATCCTCCATACCATGATGTCAGACTGTGCAGAATCTGTTCTCCCTCTGTTTCTCCTCCGCTCCAGCAGCTTTCACCCAGTCACCATGTACTCCAGTTTTCTCCTTTTCATCACGTGAATGCAGATTGTTTCCTTATGATGTGAACAGTCAGTTTTTTTTTTTTCGGTGAGTTTATTTTAGTGCATATCATTACTCTTTATATCTGTCCAGGGTGTTCTCATCGTACGTCTAAAAAAAAACCACATTTTTGCAACTTCTAAATAATTGTTCACTAACCCACCAACTCTCTATGATTCACTTCTGTATATCAGGATAGGATTCATTTAGCTTTCTTGTTCCAGTTGACCCAGAAAGATCGCATTGAATATTCTTCATATTGTAAAATGCTGCCTTTGCTTGAGCTCTTCTGTATTTAATGGTAAAATCATTGATTGGATATTTGTGTCCACAGAGGAACCTTCGACATATACGTGGACTTCGACGGCAAGAGGAAGTTGGTGGGTCACTACAACAATGAAGGCTTCTTCGGGGAGCTGGCTCTCATGTACAACATGCCCAGAGCAGCCACCATCGTGGCAACGTCTAATGGAACACTCTGGGCTCTGGTGAGTCTCGGTTTCATTGTCATCTCTGGAGTTTTCTCTAGCTCGTTAAGTAACAGAATGTTTGTCAGGTATTCCTATGGAAAGAGAAGAAGGCCAAAGCTGCTATTCTGGATTCCATCCATGATATTAAAATAATTGTACAGAATAGAATGGAGTGGAGGAATAGACTGTGAGGTATGTGACACATCATAGCACAGCAGGGAAATGAACAAAACTAAATACCACAGTCTGTGGCTTTACAGGGTCATTATATCTCAGCAGAAATAGTGGTGTAGACTCAGGGTCATTATATCTCAGGATAAATAGTTGTTTAGACTTAGGGTCATTATATCTCAGTAGAAATAGTCCTGTAGACTCGGGGTCATTATATCTCAGCAGAAATAGTGGTGTTAACTCAGGGTCATTATATCTCAGTAAAAATAGTTGTGTAGACTCAGGGTCATTATATCTCAGTAGAAATTGTGGTGTTAACTCAGGGTCATTATATCTCAGTAGAAATAGTTGTGTAGACTCAGGGTCATTATATCTCAATAGAAATAGTTGTGTAGACTCAGGGTCATTATATCTCAGTAGAAATAGTGGTGTAGACTCAGGGACATTATATCTCAGTAGAAATAGTGGTGTAGACTCAGGGACATTATATCTCAGTAGAAATAGTGGCGTAGACTCGGGGACATTATATCTCAGTAGAAATAGTGGTATAGACTCAGTGTCATTATTTCTCAGCAGAAACAGTGGTGTAGACTCAGGGTCATTATATCTCTAGAAATAATGGTGTAGACTCAGGGTCATTATATCTCTAGAAATAGTGGTGTAGACTCAGGGACATTATATCTCTAGAAAAAGTGGTGTAGACTTAGGGACATTATGTCTCTAGAAATAGTGGTGTAGACTCAGGGACATTATATCTCAGTAGAAATAGTGGTATAGACTCAGGGTCATTATATCTCTAGAAATAATGGTGTAGACTCAGGGTCATTATATCTCTAGAAATAGTGGTGTAGACTCAGGGACATTATATCTCTAGAAATAGTGGTGTAGACTCAGGGACATTATATCTCTAGAAAAAGTGGTGTAGACTCAGGGACATTATATCTCTAGAAATAGTGGTGTAGACTCAGGGACATTATATCTCTAGAAATAGTGGTGTAGACTCAGGGACATTATATCTCAGTAGAAATAGTGATGTCGACTCAGGGACATTATATCTCTAGAAATACTGGTGTAGACTCAGGGACATTATATCTCTAGAAATAGTGGTGTAGACTCGACATTATATCTCAGTAGAAATATTGGTGTAGACTCAGTGACATTATATCTCAGTAGAAATAGTGTGTAGACTCGACATTATATCTCAGTAGAAATAGTCCTGTAGACTCAGGGTCATTATATCGCAGTAGAAATTGTGAAGTGAACTCAGGGGCATTATTATATGGCAGTAGAAATTGTGGAGTAGACTTGGGCATTATTATATCTCAGTAGAAATAGTAGTGTAGACTCAGTGACATTATATCTCAGGAGACATGATGACGTCGACTTAGGGGTATTATAACTCAGTAAAACTGTTGGAATAGAGGTATGGGTATGATATCTCAGTAAAAATGGTGGAGTAAATTCAGGGACATTATTATATCTCAGTAGAAATGGTGGAGTAGACACATGGACATTATTAAATCATAGTAGAAATGACGAAGTAGACACGGGGACATTATTATATCTCAGTAGAAATGGTGGAGGAGACTAGGGGAAATTGTATCTCAGTAAAATTGTTGGAATAGAGGTAGGGGTATTAAATCTCAGTAGAAATTATGTGAGTTGACTCAGGGACATTTTTATCTCAGTAGAAATGGTGGGAGTTGACCCAGGGACATTATATCTCAGTAGAAATGGTGGGAGTTGACCCAGGGACATTATATCTCAGTAGAAACAATAGGAGTAGAGGTGGGGTCCGCAGCTGGTGTAGATGTAAAACTACGAAATTTAGAAAGCAGGAGAGGTTTTCATAGCAATATAAAATATCCTGAAATCACTACTAGTAGTAAGTACCAAACTACTCTTTTTGCAGACAGTAGGTTAAAAAAAAAATCTGCATTAAACTGAAATATTTTGCTGTAATGTCAAAGCAGTACTATTATTGTCTGTAGCTGAATCATGGACAACAACCAAAGCACTTAGTAATGACCAGCAGACATTTGTTAACTTGTGTCTGTGCAGAACAGGGGATTTATGAACTATTCCCCTTGTTGATTCCTGGGTCCCATTATGAGGAAGGGGAAACAGACCCACTGTCTTCCTGACAAACCTGTCGCAAGAGTCGACTTTTTAGGGGATTTGTTTCGAAGTCGAAGTGCACCTGTCTGTAAGGTAAGAAACCACCAGTCTGCATACAAATGAGTCAGATCTGTAAAACGCATGTGCATGCAGCACTCGGTTTGTGGAACATGACTGTAGTACAGGAGTGGACGGACTACCAGAACTTTCGGCGGGATTTCACAGCCGGTAAACGCTTAGGTAAAGTAAAATGTATTGTAGAAGCGTTAGGAGAGGACCACAATTCACTTATTCATAAGGTGAGAAAAAGACGCTGACTATAAATGGAGCATGTTGAGCAAAGTTGATAACAGAATGGCTAGAACGTCTTTGCACTGGACCCACAGGGAGGCAAATGGCAGACCGACGCCCCCCCCCTCCCCCCCCCCCATAAAAACATTAATTTAAAAAAACAGAATAGAACTAGAATGTTGAACGAATTTCAGTTACGAATCAACATCATAGCACTCGGGACACTCCCATAAGCGCTATATCCCCATCTTCATCAGCAAGCGAGGAGTTCCAATTACGATGGTACCAGTAACTGTATGATTGTACGTCCGTCTCGCCTTTCTTTTGAGCATTGAGCATCGGCCAGATCTCCTGTAACTCCTCGCAGCGCCATTCTCCTCAGACCGCAATGATCTGTTTGTACCTCCGCACTGTTCACTCGCTCCCAAAGGATCTCACAGCATCTAGCTTGTCATACATCAATTCACCACCAAGCGGTGCAGAACCGGCTAGTCCGTCTGCCTGCTCGTTTCCCAACACAATAGCTGGAATATAACTAGAGAAGATAGGTTTAAAAAAAAAAACATGGTGAGGACATAGGGTGAGCTGCGTGACATCCAAAAAAAAAGGACACTGGGCGTGTGGTGGTTGGGAGTCAGCGCTTCCTTGGGGATTAAATGACAGAAGGCGGAGGAGAAAGAAAAGGGACGAGCCAGATGTTAATTAAATAGAACTTTTCTACACAGGCCTGGGAACTTAGGCCTTCTCCGCTTGCCCTTCCCTCTCAGTTGTTAGGGTGCTCAGCGCCCCCCCCCCCCCTTTCCTCCCCCAATCCCCATGTATTGTTCTTTTTTTCAAATATTCATTTATTTATGCATTATAATGATAACCACCAGAAGGGTGTTTCCTGGACATTAATATTAATTATAGAAATGAAGCTGAATTAAATTGATTTCGAAAGATGTAATAATTTGATTTAGTCGCTTTGTCAATTAGTGTAATGTATTTTGGCGGAAAGCTTAAATAATTGTTTCATTTCATTTTTTTTCCCTTCAAATGTTGAGGTCTCCAGTGTGTTTGTATGTGTGTGGGTCGGCGTCCGGGTTTGGGATGTCTATGTAACGGCCAGAAACAGTTGTAATTGAACGATGGATCGATCGGCTTGTCCCCATCATAATCAGCGAAATCAAAATACAATTTGAACATTTGATCTGACAGCGCGAAAGCTAGTGTAGTTAGTTGCGTATCCTTTACAGCACGGTTCTCAACCTGCCGGTCGCGACCCTTTTTGTGTGGGCGGAATGCCCCTTTCACGGGGATCGCCTTAGACCATCGGAAAATAAAGTTTATTAAAGTTATGAAGAAAAAATCTTTCGGGGGTCGTCACAACATAAGGAACTGTATTAAAGGGTCGTCACAACATAGGAAACTGTATTAAAGGGTCGTCACAACATAAGGAACTGTATTAAAGGGTCGCTGCATTAGGAAGTTTGAGAGCCACTGATCTAAGCGCATTCTCTCGACAATTGAACAGCATTATTACAAGTGTATGGTTAACGAACTCAGATGGGAGTCTCCATGTCGAAGTGGTCAAGCCGTTTGCCTCGCGCTCTGAAGGTCGTGAGTTCGTTCCACGGCTGGGCCGTTTAGCTCACCAGTGCATTTTTAACGTAGATCCATGTGGATCATCGCCGGAGCTACAGAGTTCATGCTCTGCGCGGTGGCTATTCGTTCTACGGAGAGAGACCGAGCCATGTAGGATAAAACCTGGTGCAGTGAAGTCGATCCTCTCGACTTTTAACCTTTTAAGGAACTCAACATTTTGAGAGCATGCATCTTCCCTGTAGCAACATACAGATTTGAGTCGTGGGCTATCTATCTCCTAGTCTTTAAGTAAGAAAATAGGCGTTTTGAACTGCTATAGAAAGATTCTGAGAATACCATGAACAAAGAAGAGAAAAAATGCTGACATTTTAAAAGATCTGAACATCAAGAAAAGAAGGAGCAGGGGCCGGCCAGCGTGAAGATGGCCACGGGAACTCATTGACTCCTTGAATATGAAAGTTCCTGAGGTGGGGAGATCTGGCGAGAGACCGAGTTTTATTTCAGGCAGACCGTGATGAGAGCGACGTTCTGCAAAGAGACTGCTACACGATGATAATGAGTGACTCGGCAAGATTCATTAACGGTTAATTTTAAATCATGACGCGTTTCTATTCTTCTTGTCTTCTTCAGGACCGACAGACGTTCCGAAGGATAGTCTTGAAAACGGCGTTCAACAAGAGGAAAAAGTACGAGAAGCTGATCGAGGGCTGTTCAATGCTCAAGTCGTTAGACGTGAGTGTTTACAGTTAGATGTTGTTTCCCTACGTTTGTGTGTTGTTGATTCTGGCGGGACCGCTGCTAATAGAATTGATAACTGGATCTACTTGCTGACTCATCTTTCCGACTTTCCTCCTGTTCAGCTACCTGACTACTTGGTTAGTTGTCAGCTTGAGCTTCTGCAGGACGCTCTCGTGGTTCGTATTTGCTGGTGTAGTTATCTTTCGTATTATTTGTTTCTTTCTTTCTTTCTGTCTTTTTTTTCATTTTTTTTTTGTCTTTCTTTGCGTTACTACTTTCTTTCTTTTCTTTCTGTCTTTTTTCTTCTTTCTTTCTTTCATTTGTTTTCTTTCGATCTGTTTCCTTTCTTTCTTTCTTTCTTTCTTTCTTTCTTTCTTTCTTTCTTTCTTTCTTTCTTTCTTTCTTTCTTTCTTTCTTTCTTTCTTTCATTCATTCTCTCTTTCTTTCCTTCTTTCTTTTAAATTGTTTTTCTTTTCTTTTTTTTTCTTTCTTTTTCTTTCTTTATTCCTTGAATTCTTTTTTTTTTACCAATATCTCATTCTTTCTCACTTTGTATTTCTTTTTCAAATTTGTGTTTGTGTTGAACGAAGCAGGACCTTATATCTCCCTCGACACTCAAAGCGGTAAGAGGACGCAGAGAAGAAGAAGAAAAAGTAGAAAAAGAAGAAGAAAAGAACCTTTATGTCATACTTTGCTTATATTTGTCAAATATAACCGACCGTTCAAGCTATTCATAAACGTGATTACACGTGCTGTGCACGAAATTCGTAACAATTTCCCAGTTGCGAGGCTTGTGTGAATCTACTGTCAATTCCCAGGCAGTATTGGGATGTCTGCGGGATCGTTACTCGGCTAAACCTCGTCTGTGTGTGTGGTTGTACAGTAGCCAGACCCCACTCAGTGTGTGCGGCGGCGGCGCCGTCGTCGTCGCCGCCACCCTCCTCCTCCTCCTCGTCCTACCCCTCCTCCTCTTCTGCCTCTTCTTTTTTTTCTTCCCCATTCTTCTCTCTAGTTGGCCTTTTCTTTTCAGTTGGTGACTCCAAGTGTTTGTAGATCTGTTTGGATATTATCTCTCCATCGTCTTCTAGGTAGGCCTCATTGTCTGCCGCCGTCATCTCCCTTGTTTGTACAGGTATTACCTCTGTCACCTGACACATCCAATATGCCCCAGCCATTTCAGCATATTGGCCCTCATGATGCCAATGATCAATGGTGATTTAAACAGATTATGAATTTCGTTGTAGCTTGTCACTCTCCATTCCTCGCTGGCATCCATTATGTGTCCAAAGATCAAGTTGTAAAAATAAAAATTAAAATTAAAAATGCCACTGACCGTTTAGCGTGCAGGAGGCACATTAGGACGGGAATAAGATTGAAGGTTTTTGTTCGCTTGCTTGATTTAACTTGTTCAGCCTCTGACATGGAGGTAGCTTCGTCGTAGTCAATATCGGTTATAATTATGGCAACAAATTGTGTTGCTATTGACTGCATTGTGTCTGTTGCTAGTATTATATGACTTTCGTGTCTTCTGTCTGGCCGGCCAGGTCGTGTCTGTCTCATTGTACGGGCATGTGTCAGACAGGATGAGAGCTGAGCGTCTGAGAAGAATGACACCAAATACATATAATGGTGGGAGTCGCGTTGGCGGCTAGACGCCCGCCTGCGGATCGGAAGCTCGTGGGTTCGCCTCCTGACGGAGCCGGACTTTTTTTTCTTTCAAAAATGATGTTGACCTTCAGGTCGACCTAGCCTTGGGTGGGTACCAGGTGCAGTCCTGGGGAGTAAAGGCGGCCGGCGTGATGATGACCACACCACCCACCAGGTGCCGATATGTCTATACAAATATAGGTCTAGCCCTATATATTTATATATGATGGTCTCAACTGTTCTGAGATTTCATGCTCTGATTGTGGACGCGGACGATCTGGCTAGTTACACTCGCCTTCGGAAGCTGAGTGGTCTCGATGCATGGTGTCTGCCTGGACTGCTGGAGGTCCTGGGTTCAAGCTCCGGTAAAGGCTGGGATTTATTCACGTGGGCTTCTGTAAATATACCCTAGTCTCTGAGTAGTAAGATCGGAAGCCTGTGTGTATTCTGGACGCACGTTGGACATCCCTTAGCAGTTGGAAATCGAAAAGAGTAACATAACGGCGCTGCCGGTGTGAAAAATTTGGAGTTAAAAATCTACCCAAATTATTGTAGGATCCTCGCCGGTACTACAGAGATCATGCACTGTGTCGCGATTCTTCAAACTCAGATTTCGAGTTAGAGGTAGAACGAAGCACTTATGGGTTCCACCCGTGTGCCATGATGTGGTTCCGTTGAATAAACATAAACATAAGGCTGGGTCAACCTAGGGGGCAGGGTTGTGTATCATCAGCATGAATTCTCTGTATGCCTAGTGGCACATGAGGCTTCAGAGAGGACTTGCCATGCTTTCCTGTCTGGTGTAATCTTCAGTGCAGTTTTTTTTTTATGTCAGAGATACCGCACTCAGGTCACTTTCCATCGTTCGTCTCCATGTTGTTTTTGGGTGCGCCTTTTTTCTCTTGCCCTTTGGCATCAATGTGAGAGCTGTTTTGGCAGGTAAAGTAGGATTCATTCTCATAACGTGGCCAAGCCATTTCCGTCTTCTCTTGGTTATCATATTGTCTAAAGTTTTTTTTTGTGTGTGTGTGTGTGACTAAAAGTAGTTTAGTATTTGAGATTGTATCTGGCCTGAAAATGTTGATAATTCTACGTTAGCATGTGTGGTGGAAGGTGAATAGCTTGTGCGCATCCTTTTTGGTCCCTCTCCAGCATTCTGCCCCATAAAGAAGAACTGGCAAAATGATGCTATTGTAGAGTCGGAATTTCGTTCCTGTGCAGTAACTACTGGATTTCCAGATTTGCCTTATCCTTCTAAAAGCAGCTCTAGCTTTGTTCAAACGTGACTGTATGTCTTCCTCTGTCCCTCCAGTAGGGACACCACACTGCCAAGATATGTGAAATGTTGATTATTTATGGTGAAGTTGGCAGAAGAGGGGTGGGGGGATGGTTCCGGGAAAACCGTGCGAAACGAAAATCTGAAATCTGCGATGAGAGAAGACCCATTGTTTGTTTGTTTTAGTATCCAAAAGCCATGAGTTGTTAACCCTTAGGCTCGGTATTATGGATATCGCTACCTTTCGGCCTTGATTCCATTGTAAATACCGTAAATAAGGGAGAAAATGTGGCTTTTCTGCCTACCCCCGGGAGTGAACCCGGACCACCAGGAGTTCGTCACCCAGTCACCGCACAATCCGGTTTAGCCAACTACGCTAGAGAGCCGGGCAGAGAAGACCCATCGATCCTACGGGCTGGGCTACATGCTGATACTAGCGTTTACATTTGCTGTAGTTCATCGGGGAAAGCCGGTTCTGTCGTTGTGTGTTTGAATCTCCGCTTAGGGTCAGGGAGGCCATCTGAGGTCAGACCGTTTCTGAAGGTTATGGGTTTCGATTCACGGCTGCTTCGTTTCAGTGCATGTTTTTAGGAGATCCGTGGGGATCCTCACCGGGTCTAAGGCGTTCGTGCTTTGTGCGACGCTCACAGAAGACGGGTAGCCGTTTTTGCAGAGAGAGAAACCGAACAGTGTGGAATAAAACCCGATGCAGCTAGGGTCGATTGTCTCGACTTTAACTTTTAACTTTTATCTTGTCCGAAGCTAGTTTTTTGTTTTTTTTTTCATTTAACCAGGCTTCTAGCAAATCTTCTTCTTCTTCGTCTTCGAGTTCACCAGCTGTAAACACCGGCGGAAGGTTCTGGTTGTTCGTCCACTTCTGGACCCCAGTTCTGTTCCAGAACCAGAGTATTGCGTGCGCATCCGTTTTATTAATCGGACTATGCAGAATGTTGGGTTCTCGCCTCCCAGGCAGATGCATTGAATCTTTTGTATGCAGACTGTTGGTTCCTTGCCTCCCAGACAGATGTACTCTGACTTCGAAGAAAGCTCTCAATTAGTCGATTGTTACTCGATGCTTTTGGGTATGCTTGTTGTTTTCCTCTTCACATGGGACTCTTATGAACTTACATGGCGAGCTTCAAGTGTATGTTTAAAACTCGCCTGTGGATCGGAAGGTCGTGGGTTCGGGTCCTGACGGAATCGGACTTTAAAAAAAATTTCCCTGGCTCCCAGGTCGACCCAGCCTTGAGTGGGTACAGTCATGGAAAGTAAAGGCGGCCGGCATGCTGTTGACCACATCATCTAGCAAATGCCGATTGGTCTATAAAATATAGGTCTAGCCCTAAAAGCCCAGTACGCCCGAAGACGTGGAAAAGGATGCTTTACGCATGTACTCAAGAGCTGTCTTTGTAATATTTCTTGTTACCGTTCAGCGGCTGTAGACTCCAGCGAAGGGTTCCGGTTGTTCGTCCACTTCTTTAGTTTTGTCTGCACATCGTTTCAGCGACCTGGCTTATTAGAATGTAGATTGTGGAGTACCTCACCGTTCAGATAGATGCGGTCTGACTTGGAGGGAAAGTGTTTTTATTACAGTATATTTGTTATGGGAGGGTCATTGATTCTTCTGCGCCCCCCCCCCCCCGCCCCTAATGTGGCCCCGTAACCCACACGAGAACTTCAGCGTTTGTGCCATACTTAAGCACCCTAGAACGGGCTGTTGACTTGCCTCCCTCTCTGTCTCCCCTCCCTCCCTCTGTCTCTCCCGGTCTCTCTCTCTCTCTCTCTCTCTCTCTCTCTCTCTCTCTCTCTCTCTCTCTCCTTCTCTCTGATAAAATCTTTTCACAGTAAAAATGTCAATTACTGCTTTCATTATACTTTTGTGGTGTAGGCTGACAAAAATCCCCAACCTTACTGAGGTTTCGAACCCGGGTCTCCCGCATGAGAGCCTAGCGTTCCAACCGTTCGGTCAGTCGCTTCTCTCTGTTCACAGTAAAAATTTAAAAATTCCTACCAAATATCTCAAGTCGAGTCAACTGAGACACAATGTTAACACCGAAAACAGGGGCCGAAA